TTCTTATGATGATCAATTAGATGAATACAAAATGATTAATAATATGCAGATTATTAACAGTATATTAATAATTATGCTGAATGAAGCCAAAGTTTTACACAGAAAGCAAATAAATAAAAAAACAAGCTTTTTATGACTTAAGCATCAAACATTTTAGTAGAATTAGTTTGCACATCTACAAGGACAACTAATATACTATATAACATAGCGTTTTTTGATAAATGACATGCGGCAGGTCTGTCGGAAATTATTTTTAAAGCTGAATTTTGTCCATTTTTTATTGCTATAATGAATAGTTTAGTATTTTATACTTTGTATGTACTATAATTTAAGCAATGCTTGCAGCAGATATAGAATAATTGTTTAAGAAGTCAGAGAAGGTATTTACTCGAAGCCGGTGTTTAGGCAGACGGCAGCGGCACTTCAGTCGGAGGGTTCGGCTTATCGGTGATCTTCAAATCCTTGCAGAACAACACCGGTTCTGACCCGAGACCCAGCTGAAACTGCCACAGATACAGACGCTGGTTTGGCTTCAGCTCAAATGATAGTTGCTCTTCCATCACAGTCTCTTCATTCCAGTTTTCCAGTTCAGTGTTCACACTTGCACCTCCGTATTCTGCCGATAAGGAGAACTGACACTGAGAAATTAACCCTGCGAGTTTTCCAGATGAGATCGTGGCCGGCGTTTCTATCTTCCAGTTGTGTGTCATCTCGGACAGCTTCTCCTTATTGTATCCAACCTTTTTATTCATTTTCTTGTACCATGTCACTGGTGTGGGGCTGTCATTACTTACAGTTTTAATGTTCACCCACCTGCTGAATGCTGGGCCGTTGGTTATGGACAGCCCGCCTGGCAGAAAGTTCAGGACATCGGGGTGAAGGGAATAGACACCAGTGCACTCATCTGTGTAGAGGTCGGTACCTTTGTAGTATTCAACTCCCCAATCTGAGGCTGGCTTGAGGAAGTAGAAGTAATTCGGCAGACCCCAGTAATAGAGACCATCTCTGCAATTGGGAGGAAGAGGATATTCATCAGAGCCAGAGTCTTCATCCAGGTCTCTTGTTCTTCTGTAAACGCCCTTCTTCTGGAAGATGATGTAATACCAGTCAAAGGCTGCCAGGTAATGGTCTCCGCCCCGACAGCTGGGATGAAGAGTGTAGACTGCAGAATCATCGTCTTTAGACAGGTCAGTGACACTGCGGTAGTCATCACCCTTAATGATGTAAAACCCTTTAGCGTCAGCAAAGTAATGGTCTCCATGTCGGCAGGAGGGGTGCAGAGCATGAATACTGAGGTCTGACCCTTTGTTTAAATTACTGGACCTCATATAGCAGCCGAGATCAGAGCGGATTATGTAAAAATAGGAGTTTAATCCACAGAAATCAACACCTTTTATTCTGTGCTTTGGAACAATACCTGTCATTTTGCCTTAACCTGAAACACAGGATAACAAACAAATAAATAAAAAAATTTTCAGATTGAATGGTTTACTGTTAATTGCAATTTTTTATAGATGGTTTTGAGCTTTATTTCCCCACTCTTTAAAATAGTCAAGGTCATGTGTAAAGATGCACTCCTGTAAACAGTGTAAATGTAGTGTAGCGCAGCAGTATGTCTGTAATAGTTGTGATTTGCTGTTTTCTTTAGCACTTTTATGGAACCATGTGGGTAGCAAGCAATATAAAATTTCAAATGTAATTTGCAAAATGATAATGCATTAATGCGGAGAGTTCAGGAAGTGCCGTTTGAGAAAATAATAAGTGCTGTGAGTATAGGCTACTGTGGCTAATGTTTGCATTGAACATTTAGACGGAAAGCTAATTTTTTTTGTCTTTTCTACAATATGTTTTTGTATTCAATATCATCTTGTCATTTTAATATAAGTAATGCAATCACTTCCCCAGAAATCCCTTTTCATCTGTACATTGAGTGTCTGCCCTTCATACAGATGTTAGCTGTCCTGTCGACTCTTGATTACAAAGTTACACAACAAATACTGTTCATATCAGTTTAAAAAATATGGTAACAAAATGGCATTTAATATTTCCGAGTACATTTTTTTTCATGAAATATTCTTAAATCATGTAAAAAGGGCCTGCCCACGAGCACATGAACACAAATACAGGTCTTCAAATGAGCTCTGAATGCCCTTTATTAGAAACACACTCACCTAGACGTGTGTATCAGCAGTGGATCTGATGAAGAGCTTCAGTCTGAGAGAGAGAGATCACACTCCTGCCTTAAATACTTCTCCAGAGAGGAGAAACACACCCACAGGCCTCAGGCAGAGCAGTGCACATGCACAACTCAGATAGCTTTCAGCGCACCTACTCGAAAACACAGACTATTACTACGTTATTACACTGTTGTGTTGCTATAAATGAAAAAAATAAAACTCTCTCAGATATACACTTGTTACCAGATCTACACTCTCCAATATCAATCGCTTTTTTACACTGTATGTAGCTAATAAAATAAGAATCATTCTCGCGTTTCGATGCTTCCCTAGTTATTTTTTAATCAATAAAGTTTTAAGGTACTTGTCCGGTAATAATATGGAGGGTGAGCGGTTGATATTGATATAATATAATAAACATTTAAAATGCTACAAAAGTTAAATAAAAACATTTCATAATTTTCTAACAAGTAATTTATGATTATTTATTTTATTACCCCTTAAAAATAAGGTGTGTGTGTTTCAGAATGAGGTGCCACGCATTGCATTACTGGGTTCTAGAGGACAAAGGGCCATGGTGGATTTGCTTAGTCCGGCAAATTTAGATTTGCAAGTTAGTCTGGCCAAGAGCCCATTCAAGCCCATTTCTAATCCTTCCAAATCGTGGCACCAATCACAAACACTGAGGCAGGCGTTACACGATGGCGATCGCTCTGATTGGTTTTAGGTCTAACCCAGAGGCATTTGAGCGACATCCGTTGTTAACCAGGCTAGGATTTACTGGAATCCCTTGTTTAACTTCATAAAGCAGGTCTTCTGCACTGTGTGCTTTATCTAAATGTAGTCTCTGGATCCACCTGGACCGAACTCTGAGACCACACACACACACACACCATTGTGTTCTTCCTCTTAAGGCCATTTAAGGCCAAACGCCAACATACACGTCTGTTGGCTGTTGCTGTATAAGGTTGTTATCCCTGTTGGCATTGGTCCGGGTTTGTTTTCACCCGACTGAACATGTTCAATCAGCGTTTTTTGTTGGTCTGTCGGGGCAGTGTGAACATAACAGTTATTTGTAATGCTGGAATTTGCTGCCGATTGTCTGTGTGGTGTGAATTGGTCTAGACCAGGGGTTCCCAAACTTTTCCATGACAAGGCCCACTAAATACGACTATGTTCTGGCCAAGGCCCCCCTTTTGCAGGATGTGTTATTGAACCCATCGACAATACTACGGCAAATGTAGAAATAAATAAATACAACATCTAAGTAAACATCAGATTATGTGATGGATTAATCAGAAAGAATATAGAGATGCACCGATTACAAATTTCTAGGCCGATTCCGATTTTTCATTGAGTTTGACCTGCCGATACAGATTTTAGCCAATTCCGATTTCATTTTTTCTAACCACTTTACAGCACACACGAATATTTATTTTCTCTATGTATTTATTTTCTTTTCTGACATTAGCCTAGCATACTCCAGTTCTTGTTAAAACACACTAGACATGCAAATTATGTGATGAGGCTGTGTCCGAAATCATCCCGATAGCCTTTAAATGTAACATAGCCCACCTATGACAACATGTAATGGTATAAAAGAGAACTTTAGTGATGCAGAAATAGTCCAGTCATGGAGTCCCACTCCGATCATATTTTGAGCTATTTTTAAACATTCCCAGTGGTCTTTAAATTATGGTTATGCCCTTTTTAGCCAAAATCACAAAACCTGTGCCGTTTTCTGGGACTTCGCTTCAGCAGAGCGGCAGTTGCTCATTAGCAATTCACCTCTGCGTTGTGGGCGGAGCCGTTGGCACGGAGACGCCCCTCCCCCTGCCCGTTGCTGAGAGCTCGGTGACGGTCTCTCCCGCTAGCTTACACCCCCAATACCGGTGGGGCAACAGTATTATATACACGTTAAATTATTAATATCCGAAGTTAATCAAAGTTATCACCGATCATTATTTCACTCCAAGACGTCGCGTGTGGACTCGTGGAGACGCCCAGTGGAGTTACTACGTCACAACTCCAGTCGATTTTAGCCGGCATTTTAGCGTCTGCTACTGATCCACAGCCATTTGAATGTAGAAATACTCAGAAATACAACTTTGAGCTTATTTTTCTCAAGATATGTCCTCTAACATCAGAAAAATGCCACAAGAACATGTTAACACCTAGAAAAACATTATTTTCATCGGAGTGGGTCTTTGTGCAAGAAGAACATCCTTGTTTTTTTTGTCTTACTGTATACCAGTAAACTATTTTTACACCAAAAGCAAAACGAATACGATGAGATCGGGCCACTAGTTAGTCCAGTTACGTGTCGCAATCGCGAGGTCTCGTCTTTGATGCGCTTCGAGGGATTTATTCAGTAAAATGTGCTTTCAATGTAGTTTATGCGCATGTTTTATTATCGGTTAAATTTATACTTATACGTTTTTATTGAATTTATGTGCATTTGGCGTTTCCATCCAGCGGTTTTATGCGAGATCCCAAAATGTGCATAAATATAGGTGGATGGAAACCGCTACAGTAATCAATACTCACCAACATCCAAAACGGCATCAGTTCAGGAGTTTAACAAACACACCACAACACCAAACTCCTTGAAAGCTCTTATTTTTAATATAATTTGACAGATTCAGCACAAGAAACACATTCATAGAAGACAATAAAACCACATGTATATGAACAGAACTACAGCTATACAAGAGTGTGTAAAAGAGCAGAGAACAAACTGTAGAGTTTGTACACACACGTTTTGGACATCAAGTGTGACAGCACAGCATAGACCCCCAGTGAAGTGCAACAGCGGGTCTGAGTGTCTCCAACAGGTCCGTGTGCTGATGTCATCAGTGGTGTGCGCCGGCCTGTGTGTTGCAGACGGGCGGCAGGACTCTGCGTGAGTTGGCCTTCACCCACGGGTGCTCGATCACACTCCTGAGCGGCAGACGCATGGAGGGACTGTGGCGGAGCAGCTTCGAGATCAGGTCACGAGCGCCGTCAGAAACCACTTTAGGAAACTGCAGATCCACCTGAGACACACACACACACACAGAGAGAGAACAAAAGTAAGAAAGTAGCAGTCAAGTATTTAGTTAAGAATACTCTGCATTCTCAAAACTTAAATAATTCCTGAATATTCCCCCCCCACCCCCGAAAAATCATAATAACCTCCAATCATATTTAACGAATTTGTTGGGTCGTTTAAAATACTAAGCATATTATTATATTCCCAATACTAAGGACGTGTACGAGTTCTTTAAAGTGACACCAATGAACAATCAACCATGACTGTGTGATTTGACTTTTTGCAGAAATTTAATTTCAGTTACAACTACAAATACAGAGACCTCATTTTAAAATGTATAACGATGACAACATTAACTAAAATTGATTAGTTTCAAAATCGATTGCTACAATATTTGAAAAAGAAAAGATAAAATTTGAACTCGTTCACAATTTCTTAGAATTTATTATAAACTTCTATTTTCTTACTTAAGATAAGAATATAAAATATACTTAACTAAAAAAGAACAAGATAAAAGAAACGTATTGCATCAATTAAAATATTATGCATATATTACTATTAATAGAGATGTGCACAAGTTCTCTAGTTGATGTGACTTTTTGCCGAAATTCAAATTCCGTAAAAACATAAATGAGTCAAAAATGGGGAGCTCATTTAAAATTTTATAAATGTAAATTTCTTGAGAATAACCATGTTGAATGTTCCGAAAGCACTTGAAAACTTAAGAATTGTACATGCACTTAAAGAAATTAATTATAAAAAAAAAACCTGACATTTCATAATTTAAAAAGTATTATCAATTTTCAAACATCATTTTAAAAAATTTTACTCCTGAAAGGAATGTTGTTAAATCCTCATAACCTCCAATAGGCACAAGCGTAGTTTCGAACTTCCGCTATGGTCAGAAGTCGGCATATCAGTTTCCGGTTTACGACTGTTCATCCGCTATAAACAAACAGGATGAGTGCTGCTGTTGTACGAAAAAGAGTTGTTAAACACATCTAAGTTTCTAAGAACTGTAAGTGGATTAGGGCTGTCAAAATTGCTCAAATGACGTTCGAATATTCCCTCCCCAAAAAAACACATATTCGAATATCTGGTTGCGCATTTTGTCAATGACGCGCATTACGTTAATAACAGGACAAATTAATACAAAGAGACACAACTACTTGTATAGGTAGTTTATTTAAGTTTAAACATATTTGACAACGTATTAACTTACACAAAACCAAGTAAAGAGACCGCAGACCTTACTCTCTCTCTCTCTCTCTCTCTCTCTCTCTCTCTCTCTCTCTCTCGCCCTCACGCTCTCTGCGCATAACGGTTTAAATGAACAACAATAAACAAATGTTGAGTGCTGATCAAGAGTTTTGTGCAAGCAATTTAAGGTCGCGACTCCTGTCCTAAATATAGCAGGCTTCATTCGGTGATTGAAACAAATATTATTAACGTTAATTGAAGTTTTACAGTATATAGAACCGACATTGAATGCTCCGAGCGAGCTGTGCTGTGGTAAACTGCTGCTAGCCTGCTACTACGGCTATTTCCAGGGCGTCTGGCCACGCCCCCTTGGCGGGCTCTGACGTGTCTGATGTAATGCTAGCTCATTGGCGCACACATTGGAGGCGCCCGTGCCATTGGATGTGCAGTTGCCGCAGCACAGCCAATGAGTGAGCCAGACACTCACTGTTCTCTCTGTGCAGCTGGAAAATGCGTTTTAATTTTGCCACTCGCAAAGCAGACAGCCGCGCCTCTGCTACCGCGGGCGTATTTTTCCACATGATTCGAATATTCATTTTCACCTTCGAATTTCTGTTTTTTAAAACTATTCGAATATATATTCAAATTTAGAATATTCGTTGACAGCCCTAAAGTGGATCTAACGCTCGTTTCACACACACCCCGTTTGCAGTGCGTGTAGCGGTGCAGGAGCAACGCGCGCTATAGTGCTTTCACATATGATGCGTTTGCAGTGAATAACTGATCCGCGGCTGTACCACAAACACTTACTATTTTTTTCTTACTACATGTCTATTTTGTGCAGCCACTGCGCACGAAGGTTGGTGTTTTTCGGGAAGCGGTGGAAGCTCAAATGGCTGTTAGCGACTTCCAGATGCGGCACGTAGCTATAACAGCAGTGCAGCGATCGTTACTGCACCGAATCTATTTCTCCTGTGCTGCATTAAAGTGACACTGAATGTTTTGTGGTCAAAATGCACAAAGATTGACCTGAAAATGTAGTCATTTCACCATAAATGCGTTTCATTAAATAAAATGTAGTAATCTCACCATAAATGCATTTAATATACCGGTACTACTATTTTTCACAGTCATCTGAAGACTGTGAAGACCGGGGTAAATCAAGGAAAACTACTATTAAGGCGACATAATGAACAACACTCATGCCATTCGTGGAGGTGGAAAAACAAGTTATTTGTGACATGCAAGATCTATAGGCTATTACAATTTAAATGCAAATGAAAAGGCATGCGAGTCGGCTGTTTTTGCCAATTTTAAGTTTTAAATTAAAATATTTGCAATTTTAATATAGTCAAATTGACCACTTGACCAACTTAATATAAGTAATGCATGGAATAATAGCCCTAACTTACGTTGTTTAAATTGTGTTTAAACGTGCATACGTCCATTAAAGATTGTATGTGTACAAAGAGAATCACAATGCTGACAACTTTTTTTTAAATAAAAGTTGCAGCATAACTTCTGGATTTTAAATAAAAAAATAGTAAGTATGTGTTTGCGGTACAGCCGCGGATCAGTTATTCACTGCAAACGCATCATATGTGAAAGCACTATAGCGCGCGTTGCTCCTGCACCGCAACACGCACTGCAAACGGGGTGTGTGTGAAACGAGCGTTAGATGATAGATCCACCTACAGTTCTTAGAAACTTAGATGTGTTTAACAACTCTTTTTCGCACAACAGCAGCACTCATCTTGCTTGTTTATAGGCAAGGCGAGTTTATTTATATAGCACATTTCATACACAATGGTAATTCAAAGTGCTTTACACAGGAGGAAATAATTAAAACAGTTTAGAATAAAGAATAAAATAAAGTACAGTAGAAACAGTCAGACACAGTGGCACAGTGCTCATTCTGTAAATGCACAGCTAAACAGAAGTGTTTTGAGTCTGGATTTGAATGTGACTGTAGGAGCACATCTGATCTCTTCTGGAAGCTGGTTCCATCCGTTTATAGCGGATGAACAGTCGTAAACCGGAAACTGATATGCCGACTAGGGATGTTAACCGATGACCGTTTAACCGATGGTTGACCGTATTAACGTTAACCGATCAAAGTTCTCGGTAGTCGGTAAAAAAAAAAGAAAAAGTGATCTCTAAATTAGGCTATTATAGACAGTAGACTAAACGCTACTATCTCATTCCAAGATATTTTTGTGTGAAGTGAACAAATCCCTCACACTCAATTTTTCATAACTCACCTGTTTGTACTTAATAAACCAATAAAAACATTTGGCGCGAGGTCACAGCTTTTTCAGTGTCGCATTTGGTGCAATAGATAGACACGCGAGACTCGGCACGTTCAGAATTAATAAACTTTTGATAAACTACAGAACAGCTTCGCGGGTAGGGCTTATATGCTCCGATAACGGACACTGCACTAGTGATATAAAACATGTGTCAACAGTTCTGTATAAAACATGTGTTTTATATCACTATAATGCGTTCTCGGAGCGTATAAGCCCTGCCCGCGAGGCGCTCCGCTTCCCGCTCGCACGCTGTTCTGGCGCAGGTCTGTTAACTTAAGCAATAGGCTACTTTTAATAAAATAGTCTAATATTTTTTCTGACTAACAAATTACTGTCGCAGTAAAGGGTAGATTTAAATAAATAAAAACGAAATTTCAATAAATAAAAACGAAATTTCAATAAAGAAAAACAATTTAATGAAAGAAAAACGAAATTTCAATAAAGAAAAACCATTGCGTTATGTTTTAATAATTAGGCGGTGGCCTAACACCTATCTGTGAGCTATTTGTTGGCTATACAGTAGGCTAGGCTAATTCTCATTCATAGATTAAAATAATTTTTCGTTTTAATGTTATTATTAAGAATAGCTGTAGGCCATGTTGGCCATTGTCTGTTATGGTTTATGAGATGTTGTCCTTAACAGAAGTTGACACTTGTCTTTTTGAAGAATAAAAATAAAAATATTAATTATACAAAAGAGTTGTGTCCGTTATTAGAAGGCACACAGTGAGTTATACATACCTTGGTCGGTGCGTCTTTTTACGCATTCTGAAGGTGCCTGTTTTACCCATTGGGTTTATCGTGTTGCTACGGTCGTATCGTCTTGTTTATCGTTAAATGGCTGCTACCGTAAAACTTCACATAATAGCCGAGTCCCAAATAGACGCCTGTCTCTTTTACACGCCTGGTGTGGCTGCAGGTTTGGGTAAATAGAGGCCGGGTCTGTTGTTTAGTAACGGGCTGCATTTAATCCTCTAAAACCGCCAGATCGCCCGCTTTTTGGCGGCCGCCAAAGCACATTTTTGTCCTTCCAAAGCCTTTTTTTGATCGATGAGCCGCGCGCGCGCACTCTCACGTCTTCAAACAACACGAGCGCTGTCTTACTCTCTCCCTCGCGCATATTAATCAAAATCAATTGACCCGATAGTAAAAGGTCGGAAGACCGCAGTTTCACGTGGAGCATTTGGAGATTTTTAGAGATTAGAGACTCGCCTATACACTCAATGAACAACATCTCAACACTAAATTATAAAGGCCTGTCTCATATAGACGCCTGTCTCAAATACAAGCCGGTGCAGTTCGACGATTTGGGTAAATAAAAGCCCGGGCTACTATTTGAAGTTTTACGGGATTTCGTAGCATATTTTAAACTACCGTATTTTCCGCACTATAAGGCGCACTTAAAAGCCTTTAATTTTCTCAAAAAACGTCAGTGCGCCTTATAATGCGGAGCGGCTTATATATGGATGGGGAACACACGTTCACCAAGACGCGGAGATAGCGCCGGCCGACTTACGCCACTATCTGCCAATGGATCGTGGATGCCTGCCCTGGGCTGATATATCAGTCTCCTGTGATCCGAGCTTTCACGAAGGCTGCAGGCAAGAATAATCTCTTTATTCAGCCAGCTCACATACCCGTATTTACTTCCTGTTTTCGGCCGAAGTCCACAGTAGTTGATTGTCGAGATCGCGCGCGCGATCAAACCTCCTCTACGTGTTCAACATCTGATTCGGATGAACTATCCGAATCCGAACTATCCATTTGAGCTGATATTCTCACATAGAGAACACACCACACAGCACCGTCATCGGCTGACAGCTGACAGTCTGAGTCTCCACTGTTGCTTAGCTACCAATGATCGCGCGCGCACTCGACAAACGCCTACTGTGGACTTCGACCGAAAACAGGAAGAAAATACGGGTATGTGAGCTGGCTGAATAAACATCATTTTTATTCATATCTTTCACATTTACTGGAGTCAGATTCACTGTGTTCACTCACATGGCTGTGCACTTGTAATGACACATTAAGGTTGTTAAGAGGCTAAAAGCAGGTTTAAAACTTGTCCCGTTTAAGTCAACAGGGTGCAAATTTTAAAAAGAGGATAACACTGTGTAGGCAACACCGGTTTTTGTCGTTGTTATCTGTACTGACAGCACTCCCAATTTACAAAAAAATGAGCTCAATGTTAAAATTGACCGGAGTTCTTCTTTAATGTTTGAACAACGTTACCATGGGAGTGAACGGAGTTGTCAGAACGCTTAATAAAGTTTGACTTTATCTGACTGTTTTGTTGACATTTGTTGACATCTAGTGGATGCATAACGCAAACCCAGTCAAACGTTTGACTGCAGTATCTTATGCGCCTTATAATCCGGTGCGCCCTATATATGAAAAATGTTCTAAAATAGGTCATTCATTGAAGGTGCGCCTTATAATCCGGTGCGCCGTATAGTGCGGAAAATACGGTAATCGGTTAACCGTTTCAACCGGTTAATGAGGCTCGGTGGTCGGTCAAGAATTTTAGTTTTCGCCATCCCTAATGCCGACTTCTGACAATAGCGGAAGTTCGAAACTACGCTTGTGCACGTAGCCTATTAGTCTTAGTGAGATATTTACTGAATTTATTGGTTTAAAACTAATTTTATTTGTTTAAAACAAGACTAATATCTTAACACATAACTCAGGATGTGCATGAGTTCTCTGAAGCGGATCAGTTATGGCCTTTCAAATATAAATAATTATCGGTTATCGGGCAAAATTTGTAAATCAGTGCATCAGTAATAAACCCATTCCAATTACTCAGGATGTGCATGAGTTCTCTAAAGCTGATGTGACTTTTGGCAGAAAAAAATATATATAAATAAATAAATAGTATACACGTATACTATTTATATATATATTAGGGTTGTCAAATGATTAAATCACATCCAAAATAAACGGGTTTTTTTACATAATATATGTGGGTGCACTGTGTATAATTATTTTGTATATATATATATATATAAATACACACACATGCATGCATATTTAAGAAAAAAATATTATTTATATATAAAATATTTATATATAATATAAATTATATATAAATCTATATACAGTATATACATGAAAATATTTCTTAAATATATACAAGCATGTGTGTATTTATATATATAAAATAGTTATACACAGTGCACCCACATATATTACCGTATTTTCCGCACTATACGGCGCACCGGATTATAAGGCGCACCTTCAATGAATGACCTATTTTAGAACATTTTTCATATATAGGGCGCACCGGATTATAAGGCGCATAAGATACTGCAGTCAAACGTTTGACTGGGTTTGCGTTATGCATCCACTAGATGTCAACAAATGTCAACAAAACAGTCAGATAAAGTCAAACTTTATTAAGCGTTCTGACAACTCCGTTCACTCCCATGGTAACGTTGTTCAAACGTTAAAGAAGAACTCCGGTCAATTTTAACATTGAGCTAATTTTTTGTAAATTGGGAGTGCTGTCAGAACAGATAACAACGACAAAACCGGTGTTGCCTACACAGTGTTATCCTCTTTTTAAAAAATTTGCACCCTGTTGACTTAAACGGGACAAGTTTTAAACCTGCTTTTAGCCTCTTAACAACCTTAATGTGTCATTACAAGTGCACAGCCGAGCCATGTGAGTGAACACGGTGAATCTGACTGAACATACCCGTATTTTCTTCCTGTTTTCGGTCGAAGTCCACAGTAGGCGTTTGTCGAGTGCGCGCGCGATCATTGGTAGCTAAGCAACAGTGGAGACTCAGACTGTCAGCTGTGAGCCGATGACGGTGCTGTGTGGTGTTCTGGGAATATCAGCTCAAATGGATAGTTCATCCGAATCAGATGTTGAACACACGGAGGAGGTTTGATCGCGCGCGCGAACTCGACAATCGACTACTGTGGACTTCGGCCGAAAACAGGAACTAAATACGGGTATGTAAGCTGGCTGAATAAAGAGATTATTCCTGCCTTCGTGAAAGCTCGAATCACAGTTGAGACTGATATATCAGCCCAGGGCAGGCATCCACGATCCATTGGCAGATAGTGGCGTAAGTCGCTCGGCGCTGTCTCCCCGTCTTGGTGAACGTGTGTTCCCCATCCATAGAAAAACCCAGAGAAAATTAATGGCTTTTAAGTGCGCCTTATAGTGCGGAAAATACCGTATGTAAAAAAAAAAAATATTTTGGATGTGATTAATCATTTGACAGCTCTAATTTATATATATACATTTTTTTTTTTCTGCCAAAAGTCACATCAGCTTTAGAGAACTCATGCACATCCTGAGTAATTGGAATGGGTTTATGGATTATGAGATCGGTATCGGCCTCAATTTTTATATCTGTGCATCCCTATAAATAGGAGTCAGTGTAAGGAGTGTGTGTGGACAGACACCTTGGTGATGCGCTTGTAGGTCTCGGTGTGGCTGGCCGTCTCGAACGGAGGGTTTCCCACCAGACACTCGTAGCACAGCACCCCGATACACCACAGGTCCACCTTCTCATCGTGTGTGTGTCCCTCGATCATCTCCGGCGGGAGGTAGTCCAGCGTGCCACACATGGTGCGGCGTCTGAAACACACACACACACACACAGCTCAGCACCACAGCGGCACACACGACTGGCCGTGTTCGGGTGTGTTATGGGGTGTGTGTTACCGTAGCGACGGCGCATGGACGGACCAGCCGAAGTCTGCGATCTTGAGCTCTCCTCTGAAGCCCAGCAGGAGGTTCTCCGGCTTGATGTCTCGGTGGATCACCTTCTTCTCGTGGCAGTAGTTCAGCGCGTCCGCCAGCTCCTCCATGTACTGGACACACACACACACACAGATCAGCGTCAGCAACACAACACACAGGGTTCGTACAGATACCTCAAAGAAGTTCCAGGACTTTCAAGCACTAGTTTTTTTTCAGGACTACAATCAGAGATCTCACTTATCAAACAATATCTTTAGTATTTTTTTTAAACTCAAATTACATATATGAGTTATCCAAAATACAACGCATTATATATATATACACACAGTATATATATATATATATATATATATTTTTTTTAAATACAACATTATAATGGCAATTGTTCAATAAATAACATTTTATTTCATAATGTTGGCGTACTTATCGAGAGGGGCCTGCAGTGTAGATTTTGTATGAAAAGACTGTATTTGTGCGTTTATTTTTTTAAATATATAGTATTTAAGTAAGTCAAGCACTTTTCAAGTACCTCTACATAAATATGGCTGTTTTCCAGGACATAAATTTCATAAAGTAAAATTCAAGTACTTTGAGCACCTTGTACAAACCCTGACAGACCATGATAGCAGTATGTGTGTGTGTGTGTGTGTGTGTGTGTGTTCACTCACGGTGGCGGTGCGCTGGTCATCGAAGCGTCCGCAGCGCTGGAGCTCCTTGTACATCTCTCCGCGCGGCGCGTACTCCAGAATCAGATACACACGCGAGTCGTCGAAGAAGTAGTTGTAGAACTGCAGGATGTTTGGATGCCTGTACACACACACACACACACGAGGATCATCTCACAACCAGTGTCAATTTAGAAAAAAAAATTCACAGACGAAAACTAAAACTTTTTTTTTTTGGAATGACAAAAACTATGGTGAAAATCTATTGACATTTGTCAACACATAAAAACTAGATAAAAATGTTCAGTAGGGACAATTTTCAAAGAGATCCCGTCAGAACTGATGTCACGCGCTGATCTACCCGGCGGGACACGAGCTGGCATGCGCTTGATGCCGGTATCTTTAAACATCTAAAAAAAAAAAAGTGCAAACCTCTGGGAGAAAGAGAAGAGCAGACATATGGATAGATCTGAAGAGTAAGGACACGAAAGAGAGCTGTATTCGGTACGGTTTTCTGTGCACACACACACACACACACACACACTCGTAGCGTGCAGACATGCACACAGAAGCTATAGCGCTAGCACTGAACTGAGCTCGTTCACGTCTGAATGGACAAATACACACAACATTAACTCTAAATGTCAGTTGTGGAGAGAGTTCACGTAATCACAGTCGGTTATGTCTTTAGAGAATGTGAAGAGTTGTGAGAATATCAGATGTGCATTCAGTCTTAAAGTGACAGTGCGTAATAACACTAGTGCCGTCTGTGCCCTTAATATTAATCAAACAACAAAAGAAAAAGAAAAAAAGCATTCACTGCTTTTAGTTATTTAATTTATACAAATACAGTCATTGAAAAGAAGATAGTATTCTACTTTAGGAGAAGTGGTTTTATTTAATTTTAAGATCTTTTGTAATGTCACAGCAGTTAACCTGTGTCTGCATTGCATGTTCAAGGTTAATGGATGTTTCCTCAGAGAGTTTACAACGGGTTTGGAAATTTGTAAGAAATTAAAAATGAATGCATTACAATTTAACTAAACCCGTTAGATTTTAGTCGACTAAAACAATTCAGATGACTAACATATGACAAACTAAATGGCAAATCAAAATTTGCTGTCAAAATAAACACTGCTCATGACATGAGCAGCTCAAACACTCTCTCTCTCACACACACACACACACACACCTGAGGTGCGACTGGATCTCGATCTCTCTCCTCAGCTGATGCTCCACTCCCTCCTCCTCCACACACACACACACACACACACACACACCTGAGGTGCGACTGGATCTCGATCTCTCTCCTCAGCTGATGCTCCACTCCCTCCACACACACACACACACACACACCTGAGGTGCGACTGGATCTCGATCTCTCTCCTCAGCTGATGCTCCACTCCCTCCTTCTCCACACACACACACACACACACACACACCTGAGGTGCGACTGGATCTCGATCTCTCTCCTCAGCTGATGCTCCACTCCCTCCTTCTCCACACACACACACACACACACACACACCTGAGGTGCGACTGGATCTCGATCTCTCTCCTCAGCTGATGCTCCACTCCCTCCTCCACACACACACACACCTGAGGTGCGACTGGATCTCGATCTCTCTCCTCAGCTGATGCTCCACTCCCTCCTTCTCCACACACACACACACACACACCTGAGGTGCGACTGGATCTCGATCTCTCTCCTCAGCCGATGCTCGACTCCCTCCTCCTCCACACACACACACACACACACACCTGAGGTGCGACTGGATCTCGATCTCTTTCCTCAGCTGATGCTCCACTCCCTCCTCCACACACACACACACACACACACACACACCTGAGGTGCGACTGGATCTCGATCTCTCTCCTCAGCTGATGCTCCACTCCCTCCTCCACACACACACACACACACACACCTGAGGTGCGACTGGATCTCGATCTCTCTCCTCAGCTGATGCTCCACTCCCTCCTCCACACACACACACACACACACACACACCTGAGGTGCGACTGGATCTCGATCTCTCTCCTCAGCTGATGCTCCACTCCCTCCTCCTCCACACACACACACACACCACACACACACCTGAGGTGCGACTGGATCTCGATCTCTCTCCTCAGCTGATGCTCCACTCCCTCCTCCACACACACACCTGAGGTGCGACTGGATCTCGATCTCTCTCCTCAGCTGATGCTCCACTCCCTCCTCCACACACACACACACACCACACACACACCTGAGGTGCGACTGGATCTCGATCTCTCTCCTCAGCTGATGCTCCACTCCCTCCTCCTCCACACACACACACACACACACACACACACACTGAGGTGCGACTGGATCTCGATCTCTCTCCTCAGCTGATGCTCCACTCCCTCCTCCACACACACACCTGAGGTGCGACTGGATCTCGATCTCTCTCCTCAGCTGATGCTCGACTCCCTCCTCCTCCACACACACACACACACACACACACACACACACACACACCTGAGGTGCGACTGGATCTCGATCTCTCTCCTCAGCTGATGCTCCACTCCTTCCTTCTCCATCTGAGATTTGAACAGGACCTTCAGCGCCACGACGGCCTTCAGCTTACGCTCTCTCGCCAGATACACGTTCCCAAACTTGCCCTTTCCCAGCGGACGCCCGATGTCGAAGTCTTTTATGCAGAACTTCCTGGAACAGCAGTTATTATTAAACACACTCATGTTCTTCAATGTTTCAGTCTCGTTCTCTGGTACAAAGATCAAGAGTTGTGCAAATTCATATTCATACTATAATTTTAAAGTGAACTTACTTTGAGCTCGACTTGACTGGAACTCTCCCAGGACCTGAAAGAAGACTATATCTATCAAACAATCGTTTAAACTTTTAAACAATCACATGCAACAAAAATTGTGTTTTAGTATGTGTGGGAGAATTCAGATCATTTATAATCTAGTGGACTAAACAGTGTCACCTGCCACCCAATAAAGTATCTTTGAAGGAAGGTAAACCACCTTAACAGCCATATTGCACTCATACACATCTTTATAAAGAAGGTTTGCTCTGACACATTCTCAAGGTTTTACCTGAAACAGTGTGTGTGTCTGGATTCATCTCACCAGCAGCCTGAAACACACACACACACACACACACACAACATGAGCATCAGACAGACAGCAGTGACGTAGAGCTGGAGATGAGCACGTGATCTATGTAAACTGCACTATGACTCGCTTAATATAAATAACATGTTATTGATTGTGTCACCTGTGTTTGCAGAGCTCTGGGTTCCCTGTTCTCTTTATTCTGATTAAAAGAAACACAAAAATATCTCAAACTCAACACACACTGAAGCACTTCCATCAATAAAAATAAGACAACCCTGAAAAAAATGAGGCACTTATATCAATAAAACTAAGACAGCTCACATATGGGTAACTTAACCAAACAAAATACAATTACCGGTATTACTAATATATAACGTCTGAGTTAACTTAGTAGCAGCAGCTACTCGTATTTTCACTCGGACAATGACGCTAAGAGCAAGATTTGATACAGATCAATTCCTCCGCTATCTCCAACATACACATATAAATATAAATAAAAGCACTTATACTGAAAATAAATGATCAATATGCGATCATTATACCTGCATGATGAGGATTCCTCTGTTGTTCTTGTATCTGCGCCTCAGCTCTTCCGTTTAACCGCCTGGATTCAAAATGAAACCCAGCTGCTCTGCTATTGGCCCAACCGCCGTAAACTTATCGCTGATTGGCCTGTTAAAAAAAAACATTCATTGGGCCGCGACCTGCCAATCACCTTGGCCCCGCCTCATTTACACCGCGGCAGAGTACCAGCATGGACTGTACAATTATTTTAATTAATGTGTAAAATTAACATATATATCTATTTCCTGTACATTTGTACCTGTACTAAACATACATGTATATTACCATTATTGTATATGTAGTGAAATCCCATTTCCGACACATAAGAGACGACAATGCTTTGATATATTCATAATCATGACATAAAAAGTCGAAAGTATAAAATACTAAGTCATAGTTAGACGATAATAATCACTTCATAATTATTACTTTTATCTAATCTTTTCAACTTTAAATGTAATAATTTTGACACATTAAATCACAATTTATACTTTTTGTGTAACAATTCTGATTTTCATATGTTACAGAAATAGGCTTCGATAAATATGTGTACGACTTCTTTGTATAAAATGTATATTAAGCCCTCAAAACTATAAAAGACAACAATGCACACAAATTCACTGTGAAAATGTACGTTTAATTACTTTCTAAAACACAGAAAAGTGATACAGCTTCAAATCTCTCCATTTCTCGTTCTCTAAAACACTGAGGAGAACACGAGAGTCTCTATCTGTCCAGCAAACTCTTCATCGAGTGTTTTCTTTTGCAGGGTCTTCATGTCCTGAAGAATCTCACACTGACTTCAGTGAAATGAGCAGAAAGAACTCGAAGAGCGCTGGAAACACACTGTCACACACACACACAACAAATGATGAATTATGACTAATGCAGCTCCATTCAGATGGAATATGTCCATTTTCAATACATTTACCATTTTAATATACCAAAGCTTGTGTAGATATAATGCATTTATATTTTACAATCATGGATTTGTTGGACACTTGTTAGTCAAAACTATTTGACCTACAGAAAAGCTTACATAATACTTATAAATCTGGTTTTAAAGTGCTCCTATTATACTATATTAAAGGCTCCTGATGTTGTTCAGTTTCTCCTACAACAGGTTCACATTCATCCAAGATCAAAAACACTTTATTTCCTCATAATCTTTTCTCTCAGAGTCTGAAACGCTTCGATAAAGATTCAGTCTCTCTAAGCCCCGCCTCTCTGAGAGCTGCTCTGCTCTGATTGGTCAGAAAGCAAACGCTCATTATCATATCTGAATCTCAGCTCTTGATCACAGTGATGCGAACAGTAACGATGGCGTGGGTTTTACCGCATCAATCTCAGAAAACAGCGTCTCCTCGACACGAACAACACGAGCCGAACTCTTCCAGTCTCAGATACACTACAGTGTTTGAGGGCGGAGCTAAGAGACGCTGCTCAGCCAATCAACACCACAGGCTGGCATTATGCTAATTAGTCACAAACCTACACAGGATCAGCAGAGACTGAATTACTGAAGACTCATTCAGAATCGATTCTTTCTTTTGGGAGACAAAAACTCCATCTTTTACATTCACAAACAGCTCTAATACACACTGCATGAGAGGCAATATATGAAAAAGCATAACAAGGCACTTTAATACTAATGAATAAAAATGTGTAAGGAGAAGACGGACCTGCAGAGGCTGAATATGATCCAGTACGTCCAGCAGGGCCATTGCTGGAACACAAAGAAGGACAAACTGATGCAGGCGCTGGAGTGAGAGACCAGAGCTGAGCCGACGTTCAGGAGAACACCTCAGCCAATCAGATGAGAGACATTCAGGAGAACACCTCAGCCAATCAGAGACATTCACAGGAACACCTTAGCCAATCAGAGACATTCAGAGAAACACCTCAGCCAATCAGAGACATTCAGAGAAACACCTCAGCCAATCAGAGACATTCAGAGAAACACTTCAGCCAATCAGAGACATTCAGAGAAACATTCAGCCAATCAGAGACATTCAGAGAAACACTTCAGCCAATCAGAGACATTCAGAGAAACACCTCAGCCAATCAGAGACATTCACAGGAACACCTCAGCCAATCAGAGACATTCAGGAGAACACCTCGGCCAATCAGAGACATTCAGAGAAACACCTCAGCCAATCAGAGACATTCAGAGAAACACTTCAGCCAATCAGAGAAATTCAGAGAAACACTTCAGCCAATCAGAGACATTCAGAGAAACATTCAGCCAATCAGATGAGACATTGAAAGCAGAAATGAATTGTCCAGTAAGGCGTTTGTTGCTGGAGGCGTGGGACTGTACACATGACTGATGTAAGGATACACAGAAGCGCCTGATTACTGTTGAACATGGAGCTTCCCGAGAGAAATCCAGCCAGCTCAATGAGGAACAGAGCCAGAGTCACCGACAGAGCCACCACCAGCCTGACACACACACACACACACACAAGCATCATCAGAGATCGACTGAACAAAAAACATTGCATCCTGCATAAAACATTTACTACATTGTGTTATATTTCTATTCCTGTGTTAATTTTGTATGTTGTGCTTTTGTTTATGATATTTTCTTTACTTATATTCATATGAGCTGACAAATAGAGATGTGATTCTGGTGTGTGTTTTACCGTGTATCTTCTGTTCTGAACTGTTCCTCAGTGAAGTCCAGTGGCAGACATGACTGGATGTTATTCTCCTGTAACACACACACACACACACACGCTGTCTGAGTTCTGTTATTTGACTCCCTAAGCTGAAGCTCTGTGTGTGTGTGTGTGTGTGTGTGTGTGTGTGTGTGTGTGTGTGTGTGTGTGTGTGTGTGTGTGTGTGTGTGTGTGTGTGTGTCCTCACGCGAGACCAGAAGATGGTGATGATGATGACCAGGTGTGCGGAGAGCGTGAGGAAGCGCGCAGGAACGAGACTCTTCACCACCGACATCCCGATGCCTTCACACACACCTACAGTATGAACAACAACACACACACACACACACACACACACACACACACAAAGAGTATGAAAAACAACAACACACACATACAGATAAACACACCTACAGTATAAACAACAACAACAACAACAACAACAACAACAACAACACACACACACACACACCTACAGCATGAACAACAACAACACACACACACACACACACAAACAGTATGAAAAACAACACACACATACAGATAAACACACCTACAGTATAAACAACAACAACAACAACACACACACACACACACAGTATGAACAACAACACACACACATAAACACACCTACAGTATAAACAACAAAACACATACACATAAACACACACACACACACAGTATGAACAACAACAAAAACACATCCATAACTCAAACACACACACCCTCTCTCTCTCTCTCTCTCTCTCTCTCTCTCTCTCTCTCTCTCTCTCTCTCTCACACACACACACACACACACACACACACATACACAATAACACATCATACAGTCCAATACTTTCTCCCCTAGTCGCAGTCTCGCTCTAAATCTGTTCAAAACCTTTTAAATGTGTGTTGCAGTTATATACATGAACCTTCTGCTTTATTAGCACATAATAAACTTTAGTGAAAAGAGATTTATTTACACTCACATGTTCAGGCACAGACGCGCACGTCAGCGTTACTACAGCAACGGTCTGAACTCCGCGCTGAGCTCATATCGCCACCTGCCGGCGCGGAGTAACACACACACACTATGAAAAAGCAATTCACAATTCACATAATTTTTTTAATCCTGAGGGAATCAAAACCTTGAACATTTGTATAAATATCTGCGATTTCATTTCCGCCTATACAATTTCCCCTCCATTTTGAATTTTCCCCCAAAATGTTTTACTTGAGTTCACGAGAGTAGGCACACTGCCACACTGCATCTTGGGACAGCTCTGACGGGCTTTGATAAAAGCCACCAAAAGAACTCAGATTCGTCAAAGCATTGCAAAGTTCATGAATTGGTCAAGCAATGGCCATTTCTGCGAGTTGACCTAGAGCACAAACACAACAGGACATTCTGGGAACACACAGCAAGTTTCAAACATCATTATAACTATGATCTATAAACTAAATTTGAAAATTGTTATGCATCTTCTTTGATGAATTTCCTAACATCCTCTAAAACATGTTCGCCAGCTGCCAATCAACTTTCAGAGGTGACGGCCTACCAATACAAAAATGGATATATTTGTACTTCTCATTAGATTTCTAATACCGTAACATATTTAAAATAGCTTCTATAAATCTTAACACTTTTACAAACTTTCAACTTTTAATCTTTAAAATGTTTTTACCTCATCAGAATGGTACAGAACTTTAATCGTGACACTTGATGGACATGATCAGAAAAAGCTAAATGATCTTAGAATACTCACACCCGTGATCATCACCGTCTAAAATGGCCGCCACAGAAATATGGAAAATACAGAGCAATGTTTTAGGGTACAATGTATAAATCATCCCTCATCAGTCTTTGATAATGTCCATATATATATATATATATATATACTATCCAAAGTGTGTAAGTGTGTGTGTAACTAACCATGTGTGAGTGAGCGTGTGTTTGTGTGTAACTGAGAATGTGTATGAGTGATAGTGTGTTTGTGTGTGTGTGTAACTAAGCGTGTGAGTGAGCGTGGATGTGTGAGTGTGTGTAACTGAGCATGTGTGTGAGTGATAATGTGAGTGAGTGT